ATAAATAGGGCCTTCTGTTTAAAGCTGTATTTGCAGTAGACTCTTAAAAAGAGGTCCCACTATAAAACACCAAAATGGTGAGTGTAATTTTCAAAACACAGAGCTGAGTTAGTAAAAAAGAAGGTGAGATCTTGGTAGCCAAAATGAAATAAGTGTGAGGAAGGTAGGGCACTGGCCTTGGTGGCTGTCAATAATCACAGCCTTGAATGGGACTGCCTCTGTTCAGGAGATGAGCCAAGGCCCAGCAGCTTGTGGCACACAGTTGTCCCTCTGGTAAATTCTCCCCTTTCTTTCCCAGTAGAGTTTAGCTGAGTCTGAGTGCCCGACACCTACCAAAAGACATGCCCAGCCCTACTTGCAGCTACCAGAGTAGGTTTTGGCCAATGTGATGTGAACAAAAGTGAAAAATGTAACTTCTGGAGCATACTCTTAAAAGGCGAGGGTTCTTCTCTTCCCTCTGTCCTCGTTCCCATGAGCTAGAATGCAACACAGGTTGAGAATCCCTAATTCGAAATGCTCCAAAGTCCAAAACTTGACCACTGACATGAAATCACAAGTGGAAAATTCCACATCTGATCTCATGTGCTAGGTCTTAGTCAATACACAGTTTCATGCACAAAAATCATTTAAAATATTGTATATAATTACCTTCAGGCTATGTGTGTGAGGTATATAAACAAACGAATTTCACACTGGGATTTGGGTCCCATCCCCAGGATGTGTTTATGCAAATATTCTAAAATCCCCAAAAGTCCAAACTCTGAAACACACTACAGATAAGAGACACGCAACCTGTATGTCACCAGGATTAAAAGAAACTTAACAGGAACCTTCTCCAGAGAGCGAAGTATTATTTGCTTTTTATTTTGAAACTCTTCTCCAATTTAAGATTATTTTTAATATGTGATTCTTTAAAATTGTAAATATAATTTCTGATATTTTACTCTCAGAAAAAGATAAAATTGTAAATACTTCACAAAATATAAATCATATTCATTGCTCAAAGCTACCTGTTTGATTCCCCTAAGCCAGTGGTTCTCAACCTTCCTAATGCCTCCTAATGCTGCTACCCTTTAATACAGTTCCTCATGTTGTGGTGACCCCCAACCATAAAATTATCTTCGTTGCTACTTCCTAACTATAATTTTGCTACTGTCATGAATCTTAATATAAATATCTGAGATGCAGGATGTATTTTCATTGTTACAAAGGGGTCACAACCCACAGGTTAAGAACCACTGCCCTAAGCTAATATTTTCTCATGCATTCACAAATTTTCCTTTTATCTTGAGTATATCACTTAATGAGAAAGCCCATTTTATATTGTAATTGCATACAGTAAAAGTTAAAAGCCTGGAATCCGATTTCTGGCCCATCCACCTACTAGTTGAGTGACTATTAAAAGATACTTAACTTCTGTAAAAAAGGAATAATTGTTCCCAGTTCATAGCATTGAGGGTTAAAGGAGTTAATACAAGGAAAGCTCATAAGAGTAGGTCTTTTTGTCTACTTAGAAGTCAGAGTTAGCTAACGTTATTGAACACAGACTATATCCTACCTATATTTGTATCCTCCCAAGTTGCCAGCAGCAGCTCACACACAAGAAATGCTTAAGGAACATTTGCCAAATTAAACTGATTTGCTACCAGGAGACTAAAAGAAAGGTGAGGAATGACAAGAATGGAGTTCTATGCAAGTTAAATTTGTAGCAGACTCTTCAGCACAGCAAACTTTGTGAGCCTAGTAGGTTTTTTATTTTTATTGACAAACAGAACAAATAGAAGAGAAAAAAAATGCATTAGATTCAATGAATGGAAAAAGGCAAAATACAATCTGGGCCACGACCAATTTCTTCAGTAATCCCCACTTTTCCCCATCTGTTGCTCTTTCTTGTTCTTGCTCATGTTCTTGGCTCTCTTAGGCTTTTCAAGGACCAGTTAAGTTTCCCTCTCTGTACCAGCAAGAGAAAGATCTTGTTTCACGTGGTCTGAGCATACAGTGCTTTGACGTTAGAGGAGAAATTCAAACCTTCCTGGAAAGCCTTTCTTGTTAAACTTCTCTTTGCCAGTTCCTAAGACTGAAATGGTTAAAACTGCTGTTACCTTTTCCATGGTGGGCAGGCCCTCCCACCCCCACTTGGTGGGAATACTGGCTTTTCTCCATAAGCCTCGTCATAGGGAAATGGTAGGAAAGGGGAAAATGGGCTGCACAAGTACAATCCTAACTTCTTCATAATCCCCTTAAACTCTAGACATTATTCTTCCTCTTTTTAAATCCCATAGCCCTTGGTACTTACCTCACCTGGCTGTGATCTATAGTCTTATTATATACTTGCAATTTCCTTCATATAAATTGTTTGACACATTATCTTCAGTTCCTTTGTAGGGCACTTTCATTTTCAGTGTGCTATTCCTGTATCATAGACAGGCACTTATGACATCATGCTTTGAATTAAACAGATCTGAGTCCAAACCCCAGCAGGATGACTTAGCCAGGGTCATGTTATCTAAGAAGCCTGTGTTGGTGTGTGCAGGACAGCTGGGCTTGTTCACAGTCAGAGGCGAGGGCATGTGATACAGGAAAGGGAATGTCAAAGCCCAATACCTTCTAATAGATCGTTCAAACCCGACTATTTCACAAAACAAACATCCCATTACAATACTTCTGAAGATACTATTCAAATTCCCACCTTACAAAAACTATTTGAGATTAGTAGGGGGCTTTAACTTGGGCTTACTATATTATCTAAAAGGACAGTTAATTTGCATTTATAATAATGCAAACAACAGGGTACGAACCTGTACTCAGAAATAAAATCAAGATGCTGTTAAGAAAAACAAGCAAACAAGAATCTAACAAATACCTTGCTAAAGGAATAACAGACCTAACAAATGCATATCCCATGCGGTACACATTAAGATGTCTAGTCTCCCCAGTACATAACATTAGTATGTTCCACTGGTGTAAAGCCACTAAAATCCAAATAGGTTTTTTAAAACTTGATAAAATTTGTACTAAAGTTCATCTTAAATACTAGAATAACCAGCCAGGCTCAGTGGCTCATGCCTGTAATCCTAACACTCTGAGAAGCTGAGGTAGGATTGCTTGAGTTTAGGAGTTCCAGACCAGCTTAAGCAAGAGTAAGCCTGTCTCCACTTTAAAAAAAAAAAAAGAAGGCGGCTGGGCGCAGTGGCTCATGCCTGTAATCCTTGCACTCTTGGAGGCCAAGGTGGGTGTATAGCCTGAACTAGAGCAAGACCCCATCTCTACTAAAGAAAAACTAGCTGGGCGTTGTGTTGGGTGCCTAAGTCCCAGCTTGGGACTGGGAGGCTGAGGCAAGATGATCACTTGGGCCCAAAAGTTTGAGGTTGCTGTGATCTGTGACACCATGGCACTCTAGCCTGGGAAACAGAGTAAGACTGTCTCAAAACCAAATAGCTAGAACAACCACACAAAACAAATTAAAAAAAGAAGATATGGCAGCTTCAGATATGGCAGATATCAGGTACCAAAATAAAACATCTTTCTACAATGATTAATTCAGTGGAGTATTGGTGCAAAAACAGTTAATGCTGTAAAGTATCATGGGTTATGATATCCAAGTGCTTTAAGTTAGAATATATTGTTAAAGGTAAGTTAAGTGACTTGCCCAAGATCACACAGGGTCAAGACAAGGTTCTAAACTCAGCTGATTTTACAGACATACCTCCTAGGAAAAATATTAATATACATTCTCTATAGAGCTCCTACAAAGTAAGGAAAAAACCCTAAATAACCTGGTATAAAGGTGGACAAAGGTATATCATGCAATTACTTTAGAATGCAAGCAGGCAATATGGTAAGCTTGACCTCACAAAGATTTACTATTAGGAATGTTAACAGCAAGGAAGGATTGCAGAGAATGCCAGGAAATGAGGATTCAGACACTGGTAGGAATGTATATTTGTATAGCATTTTGGGAAGGCAATCTTATATTAAAACACACAAATTTTATGACTTTTCAGCAATTCCTCTTACAGAATCAACCCCAAAGAAACTTTAAACAAAAGCACAAAAATGTACAAAGATGCTGCGACTTTTTCTGTCAAAGTGAAATAGTGAAAAGAATCTAAACATCCATCAATAGAGAATAGTTGGGGAACAGATCATAATACATCCATTCTATAAGACAGTAAGTAAGAAGTGAGTCTATATGGACTGACACAGAAAGATGGTGATGATATACCATAAGGGGAAAAACATCAAGGCACAGAACACAGACGTTTAAACTAATTTGTTAAAAAGGAAAAAAGATCTAGGAGAGAATAAGATGTCAGAGAATGAGAGAAAATGTAAAAGAAAAAGAGACATTAGAAAACATGCATTTATACACATACATTGAAAAAGCCGTTTCTTAAAAGGCTCTGCAAATACACACACCAAACCATTAGAGGTGATGTTGGGATTAGGAACCACGAGTTAAAAGGAACGTTTGCTTTTTACTTTTCTTCTATATAACAAAAAATGTTTAATGCTTTGTAAATTTGAGATGATAAATGCAAGTAACATAAATCAGATACGTTGGCTCTTGCCTGTAATCATAGCTATTCAGGACGCAGAGGTGGGAAGATCACTTGAGTTCGAGATCAGCCTGGGCAACCAAGTGAGACCTCCCCCATCTCTAAAAAACTGAACAAACAAAACTATCTGGGCACAGTGGTATGTGCCTAAGTCCCAACTACTTGGAAGGCTGAGTAGGAGACAGATCGTTTGAGCCCAGGAATTGAAGCCTGCAGTGGTGATGATTGTACCACTTAATCCAATCCAGGCAAAAGAGTGAGACCCCATCTCCTCAAAAAAGAAAAAATGACAATGAATTTACAATTTGTATTCAGTCTTTTGTTTCAAAAAAGAACAACACGTATAAATCAGTGAAAACACTAAAAACCAACCAAAGAAAATAAAAGAGCAATAAGAACATTATGTATAAAGAACTACTGACAACTATAAAGATTCAAAGCAAATGACACAATAAATTTTATTGTTTCTGTAATAATAGGCTCCGGACAAAGTGAAGACAATGGAGACAATGACAACACATTTAAACTTTTGTCACAAAAGTAATCCATTACAAATTTCCAGTGGTTCAACATATTAAAATGTAAAATATATAAAAAAAAAAACAAATATAAATATTCAGATTTTTGCAGCACAATGCAATGTCCTTTTTAAAAAAGTTTGTTATAATTACGTATGTAATTCTGACAGTAATTCAAAACACAGAATCATACCTTTTTCCTAACTTCCCCCACAATCTGGAGCTGAAGTATTAGAGAAATATGCAAAAGTAAAGACAAGTTTAGTGCTCAGAGACAAATAATGTTCCTATTTTAATGCATCAAGGCGCAAAAACTTCAATTCAAAGAAGCCAATCATTATATGCAGATAAATAAAACAGATTTGGTAATACTTTTATAATCAAACGCAAATAACATTACACTAAAAACATATGGGCGTGTGTATGTATGCAACATCTATTTTAGAAAAAAGGTGTCTTGGTGAAAATGATCCTGAAAATCTTCACTAATGCACATTATGTACAAAATCTTTTATATAAAAAATTAAACTATTTTCAATGAAAGTCCATGTTCACATCCCATTTGAAAACTGTACTTGAAAGATAAATAGTACTACCTAATGGTTTCTCTCTTAAGTCATACATAGCTAAGGCAGTTCTCTTTCCAAGGGTTTTCCTTTTGATCCACTCAGTGTCACTAATACTAATATAGACAAATATACAGATGCGACCTGACATGCCTATGCATTATTACCTGGAGCTCTGTTCACTGATACAACACGGGAGAGTTTATAGTTGCTACAAACAATATTTTTCTTTCTTAAAATATATTGTTTCTCTATTCCAAATTAAGCACTTACTTAAGACGTTGAGAGGCTGAGAAGCCACTCCATTTGGTGTCAATATCTAATAGCCCTAATAAGAAAGAATGCTGTATTGGAATAGCTAGAAAAGTTCTCACTCAAGTACATCCTTGACCTGCATAGAACCAATTTGGCTTAATAGCTCTTTGCCCCCAGGTGCAAAAATGCTCCTGAAGGTCCATCTCAGATAAGAAAAAACTTTCATAGAAGCAAATGAGGATATTATAGAGGATAATAAAAGTCATTAAAATTTGTTTGATTAGTAAAGCATTCCTCATTTCAAGTAGCTGTGAATGGTATGGTAGAAGCAAAAATGGAAAAGAATGGGGGCAATGTAATTTAGTTGGTCAAATATGTAAGCCAGTAACCATTTCAATAAGTCTTTAAGCAAACAACTGCAATAACCTGGTACCTGTAGCTCATCATTCTACAAGCATTGAGGATATGAAGCTTAAAAGGTGAAAAATTGAATACCCTTAGAAAAGGGGAACAGTCTGAGGCAAAAGTTGTAGGTCCGTAAATATATATTTTATATGTACACACAAGTGTGTGTGTTATTCTGTATATATTTACACACATATTCACAAGATGCCCTGCAGTGTAATTCAAAAGGCCTTTATCAAGGAACAAAATGATTCTAGTATAGGCCCTAGAGTTCACAACCAGCTGTATAAGAAACACATGTGCATATATTCACATAATGTAAACCTTATCAACAAAAACATTGATGTTAACACTAGGTCAGATAGAAGGTTTTAGGCTAATGGTTTCTTACCATTATCAATCAGCGATATAATCAGAACATTTCTTACAATGAGACCAATTTAACAACAACAACAAAAAACACAACTAAGTTTTAAATTCACAAGAAAAAAGATGTTCCGTATGGCAAAAATGAACAAAGTTCAAATTCCAGAGTAGGGAAAAATATCAAAACTTTAGAAATCTCCTGGGATGCAATTAATTACTGCATCATTAGAAAAATAGACTCATAGAATGAACGTGCTGCTATGGATTCTCGCAACATATCACCCCATATGTTTATCTTTTTCCTCTTTTGTTTCCAGCTGGAGGTTTCTTCAACTGAAGGAGTTGTCCTCCTGTTCCAAAACCTGCAGAGGCAGGATTGGACACCCCAAATGTCAAACCAGCTGATGCCGTGATGCCAGGATTGCTGAAGTTAAACCCAGATGTACTTGAGCTGCCAAAGCCTTATGTTTAGGGAAGAAAATATTTATATCAGAAGTTAAATCACAGAAACAAATATTAAAAAAATGGGGAAAAGTGGTAAATTTCTATCTGAAAGAAACATAATCTATAAGACTAGCAAATAGCTTGAGGCCTTATATTTCTAATATGAAATGTTACAAGAAAATAATTTATTTAACAACTACATGGCACCATGAAAGACATGTTTCAAAATGCAGGCCAAAAGAGAAATCTTAGCACAAATAAGTGAAATAAATCTACAGAAAACTTCAAGTTGCCAGAAATTTTTCTGTTAATTAAGTATGCCAAGGTGTCTTCCTCCTTCAGCCCCACCAGAAACATTTTATCAATATGTGTAAGAGACTTTCACAACATCTGGACCCCTCTCACAATCTCAAGTCCTCTAAGAAAGCCTCAACGTACAACGTCCAGGGCAATGTTTGCACCAACGAGCAATACTTAAACTGCTTTGATTTTATAAGAGTCCTTGCAAAACTGAGATCACGGACTACTACTGCCCCGTTAACTAATACAACATTTAGATTATAATCCTGAAACCAGTGAATTCTACTATCTTACTCTGCTAGAAGTGCTGATTTTCAATACTCTTAAGTGGAACTTCCTTTCACTTCCCCAGATTTAAACTCATCTTTCACAGTACTGTCATTATTTTAGACATACTACTTATCCCTAAGGATTACACATTAAAACAAGCCACTATTTATAGTGTTAATGCAAAAGTAGATGGAACTTGAAATTTCCTACAAGAGTGAAAAGATTATACCTATTTCAGAAATGAATAAGGAGTCAAATTAGTCATCACTTGAAAGATTCTTAAAATCAGAGGGACTTATAACTGAAGAACATCTCTGGAATAGAAATCATTCTCCTGATGAATAATGATAAAAATCTGGGTTAAACTTTCACAATGATAGGATCATTTTTGTAATAATGAAAAAAACTGTTTAACCATGAAGTCAGTCACAAGGAATCTAATGAATGTCTACTTAGTTAAGAAAGGATACAATGATTTTTTAAATCAGACTAAGAAGTCTTATCAGAAAATATTTTATAAGCCTGCCCTTTAATTTATAAGACAGATAAAGGTGAATGATTAGTTAGGCACACATGTTTCATTCAGGAGGTAGGAACTGATTCAGGAATCCTTTGGGTTATTGGAAATAACAGTATACTTTTAAATTATCTGCACCTTTAAATTTGCCTGAAATTCAGGTAGAAACACACAAACCTGCACTAAGACTTCCTGAGGGTTTATTTGTTGTTCCAAATCCAAATGTGGAGGCCCCTGTGGTGCTGCATCCAAAACCAGAGCTAGTTCCAAATCCTAGTGGAAGGGTAATAGAGAAATATACAATGGTACATAAAACACAGGTTAAAGGATACTGGCAAATAAAACTGAAAACTATCAAAGGTCTAATAAATATAGTGTTGAAAACCATGGCCCTTCTAACAAGGATACAAGTGAGTTTTTCTAGAACTAGAGTATAAATGTTTTAACACAATAAGTAAATGACACAAAGTCTATATTAACCAGTTTGATGAAAATATTTCAAATTGTATATGAAAACACTTCACTGTACCCCATGTTTGCATTATTTAAATAAAATTGCATTATTAAAATAATCATTTTATTAAATAATGCAAACATGGTATCATCAAATAAAAAAAAGCAAAAAAAAAAAAAAAAAGAAAGAAAACCATGGCCTTATTAAGAAAATCTATTTACTCTTTTGTATAAGACTTTTAGAATAATCAGATTAATTCTGAAAATAAAATATCTGTGTCTATTTAGATATTTATAATCCACCAATAATTTTTAAAAAACAGGGCCATAAAAAAATAAGATATTAGTATTTTCCTTCCCAAATGCGCTAGAAATTTTATTGACCATTCAAGAATGATCTTAGTCAAACACTTATAAAACATTTCTACTGTAGGAGTATTTTGCTTTATAAAAAACCAAAAACCAAAAAAATACCAAATTCATAAAGTAAGCATGACAAACACAACCATGTAAACACTAAGTACCACAAGGTAATCTTCCTCTGCTACTAACCAAGGCATTTTTGATTAAGAATCTGTATCACTGAAAAACTTTGCAAAGTACGTCATAGTCAACCTCTTTAAATCTACTCCATACTACTAGCCAGTGCGACAGTGAGAAGCCGGGGCTGGGAAGATCTTGTTTTCCTCTTAAGTATTTTCACAATTTAAAAAAAGAAATATTTTTCATTATACAAAGGTCATGAAGAGTAAGTACTTGAAGACTAATTTCCACCCTCCTAAAAGTGCTCTATAAATGAAGAAATGCTCAACTTCTTTTTAGGTTACTTTGCAATAGGTTATTTATCTATAATATTGAATTTAATAGTATCACTGCCTGTAACTCTTAAGAAATATGATAGCAAATTGGATTCTAGATCTTTGGAATTATGTTGTTTCCCATGATTCTGGAAATTGCTAAAATAGAACAGACTCTATATAAACAATACGTGTTAAATAAATAATAAAAACAGTTTATAGACATCCCACCTTACATTTTAGTGGAAATAAAGGAACTAATTTTTTATATTATAATGTGCTTGTCTAAATACAATCAGCTTTCAATTACAGATCCCAAAGATTGTGAATGGATTTGTTATTTAGCATAATGATTTTGCAAAGGACTTACCTTACTAGAATTACCTTGCGAAACTATTAAAATAAGCTTAATTGCTTATGTACACAAGTACATATATATATGCAAATATTCCCAAAGTGCCTAGAAATGGAGAGAAGTTGAGCTGTTTGATTTATAATAATTTCCCCACGTAAGAACTCTTTCAGAAAAAAGATGATTAGAATGTATGTCATCTAGAAGTAGTCTGAACTTCAAACTAATATGAAGACTACCAATTTTTACAATTTTAATTAAAAACAAATTTCCTAGCTAAGTAACTCTCAAGTTCCTATTTCAGTATATTGGTTGGAAAATATATATATCCCTAGCCCTTGATTTTAATACCTTCTTATATTTATTATTCACAAAATATGAATTGCTTCTATATCTAACACTAGAAAGCAATGGCTATGCTTAGAGAATCGTTTTTGCCAGATGGAGCCTTAACTTCCAAAACAGCAGCAGATCCTCGTAGAAACTTTTAACAGGCTAGTATCAAGTCAATTATATAATAGTTCAATGAAATATGAGAAAAGTTAAAGTGTACCTCCAAGGTTTGAAGAACCTAAGCCACTTGATTGCAAGCCAGTGCCAATACCTGAGCCGAATGGCGTTCCAAAACTAACTCCCAGAGATGGCTGTGGCCCTGGTATAAAAAAAAAAAATGGGGGGGAAAAAAACAAATTTGCCTTACTCTTTCAAGATTAAAGGTTTTTTAGATTATTTAAAAAATGAACAGTGATCACTTTTAACTAATTCCATTTCTTAAAACTTAATTTTCAGGATGTCTCTTCAGGCTAACTAAAAAAAATTTTTTTAAATTAACCTGTTCAGAACTAGACAATTCAGTTTACCACAACGAAAGATGAATATTAGTTTGATCTACTAAATAATTTGAAATCTTTAATGTATCACAAATTAAAGCTCTTATAGATTTACTTCTGGAACTATTTTAGATCTCTATTTTCTGATAAAACTAGTTGGTATAATCAATAAAGGTTTTTACCTTTCTTTAAAAAAAAGCTCCTTAGTGTTAGAGTCATGTCTCAATTGATCAAAAGAGACTGACACTAACATGGCAAAAATATCATGTTACTTAATAAGAGTAAGCACCGAAAAAACTAGGCATGATTTCTTATATGAAATATAAGTGATATAAATAATAAATAGATAAAAAACAAGACAATGTTTTATTTTATTAAATTTATTGTTCATTTTAAAGCAAATCAATTACACAGTAACATGACAATTCCAACTTGTTCACAAAAAGTGATAATTGAGTTCTATTCTTAAGCTCTGCTACATCACACCACTTATCACCTGATTAAATAAGATAGATAATGAACATTTACAAAGGCACCGCTGTGTACCTTGACAGATTCAATACAGTCAAGATTTCAATTCAGAAGTTTCTTTCTGACATATTGGAAAATGTACTCAGATGCAGAACGATTAGTTATCCTTTTCCCATTTGTTACTTTAAAGATTTTGGCTGAGTTTGTTTGGCAAGAATAGCATCAAACTTACTAGCCTCTCTTTTTAGCTACCTTTTTTTAACTAAGCAGAATACAAAAATCTAAAAATCTCTCATTTGATAAATAATTTATGAAAATTATTCAGTAAATTTCATAGTACAATCTTCAGTATTGTCTTTTTCAAGCACAGTGATAAGTGCATCTCAAAGTTGAGGGAACTGCCAAAGTAATGTATACATTAAAATTTAAACTTTTAAAGAAATCAGAGCCTTCAAGTTGTCCAATGAAGAATGAGGTTTATATATTCAAAAGGTAGTATGAAATTATAAAACATTTAAAGAAAAACAACCGAGGAACTACATTTTGCTACACTGGGACAGAAACTGGACTTTTCAAATAGCTTCTACCCAGAAAATAAAGAATAACAACTAATAGCAGCCAGAATTCTTACACTACTATTAAAAAAATAAATTCAAAAAGGATTTAAATTTTTACATCCAGTTTGAGATCAATTTGAGAATAAAATACCTGCCTGGAAGCTCTTTTGTAAAATGTTACTATAGGAAAAAGAAACTAAGCATACTACTTTCTGATTTCTAATAAAAATAATACGTAGAAAACACATGTCCAGTTTCTTTAACATTGAGAGACTTCAAAGTTTCACATGTTAATAGGAGGCACTGCTGGTGGAAGACCCTAAAGAAAAATGCACACCACAGCCCTCAGCCTTAAGAGTGACTCAAATAGCATTCTTTTTGTTGTGTGTGGGTCTCTTTTTAAGAGCAACAGAATACAGTTTCTCTAATCATCAGTATTCAGAATATAGGTAATCACGAACTCGTATCTAATGATGACAAGACTTTCATTGCACAACAGATACATGATATTTTGAGTTTTATACCTTCACACAAATTCTGAAGGCAACATCATTTATAAAACTAGTAGGCAAATGTATAACATTTTTTAATAGTAAAAACTCATGATAAATATCTCCCATGCCAAAGTATTAGCATATATTACACTCTGGCCACCATATATATTAGTTTCACTATTAGAAAGCAGAACTTAAATCTTTCAGGCAAAAGTTACGTAAACAATTCAAGAAGTTTGTCTGCTTTGAAATCTGAATAGTCATTCAATGAGAGGTTCTTAGTTCCATAAATAAAATCAAGTTAGTAGTTATATATACCATGATTGCCCAAAGTGATATCTTCATGTAGAATAACATTTTACAAAAGTTACCACATAGTATATTCACACACAACAAAATCAGGTTTAGCACTGTAAATTATATTTTCCAGAATAAATTCTACTTTCTTATGAGTAAAACTGCATTCACAGAAAAGGACTAAAGTGCTAAAATTTTTTATAATTTTCCATGATCACTCAAAATGCTTAATGTAATTAGTATGGTTATTCCTAAGTCATATTTTAAAGTAATAGCTTTTCTTTAAAAAAAAAAAAATCTTTCCCCCAGTTTGAAAAACTTTACTATTACTGATTTAATGGGGAATGTTCCTTTGGTTATTAAATACAACAAAATCACAAAACCACAACAAACTAAGATGAAATACTTAAAGTTTCCTATTTAACACTACAGCTTAAATCTCTGAATCTATGCTAAAAGCTAAAAAGTAGGAATTCCTAACAAAATGTCTTGGCTCTCCTTTAAAACAGCAGCTAACTCACATAAGAAAAATCTTATTATGTAAACATCAAGAACTTTAAAAGTGTCAAAACACAATAGCAAAACTCAATGCAGGTTCATTGCTTTAAAAAACTATCCTACATTAAAATTACACTGAAAAGCTTAATGTAAATGTCTTACTTTTTTTAGGAGGCTTGGGAAGTACTTGTAGACAAGTGTCTAGATCTACCAGTGTGTAACTAACTTATCCAGGTACTGATGTTCAATTCATACATCAACAGCCTGTTGGTTCTTTGTTAATTCTCTTTAGCCTTCAGAAAACATAACCATAAACCATACATGCCTAAGCCCAATTATGTATTTTTTTCATTAAAAAAGATCTGAAGGATCAGTAAGTCATTTAAGTCCATTCCTTCACCTCCAAGAAAGTTACCACAGAAATTGCCCTCGGAAGGTGACAGTCTAAAAACCTATCTGCCCTGTACCCATTATTAACATTAATGAAGTCAAGAACCAATGTGCAAATAAAAGCAAAATGTCTCTGATAAATCTTATAGAGATCAACAGTGATGTATAATAACAGCACCCAAACTCTATCTAGCTTTAACTCTAAACGGTCTAAACTTTGTTATTGGCACTTAAAAACCATTTCATAAAAGTCATAGGGCAAAAGGAATAACTCACTGGGCACAAAACATAATGCAACATATCAGGACACTTCTAAACAGGCTGTAACTCATAAAACCATCACATACATCTCTTAACAGAGCTCAATAATCTTGCAATCATGATGCCATGATTAAAATAACTAACATCCCGATTGGGAAGATAGAAAGAAATGGACCACAGAGCCTAGGAGACCTTTAGACAAAAGGGAAAAGGGAAGACTATGCAAAATGGTTAATCACTATTGCTTAGTTTCTCAGTTCTAAGAATTCATACGACTCAGACTGAAAATACTTTAAGACTATTCAGGTTGATAAATTACAATTCCTGCCATCTGATTAGAAAGCCCTTATGTGGACTTCAAAATTGCAGGGAACACAGAAAGTAATCAGTTTCCCTAATGCCTGACAAAAGTTGTAGACAAAATTAAAGCATATAAGTAAAAGGCTCCTCAAGATGATTACGCCAAATTAAGCTGATATTCTCTACCACCAGAGGGCAAAGACCACATCTATACTGTCTATCTTTGTATTCCCAACCCTAGCACATGGCAGGCACCCAGAGTTACTACTGGACCTACACCTATATTTATAGCATGAACACCTATGACTGTTTCAAGGTAAGTCTACATAGGAAAGTTTAAAAACAAAACAAAAAACCCTGACAGAATGCTTCAAGTTTAGGTATTTTCCATAAAATATATTCACTTACAACATTTTATTTAAGTGACTGTCAAGTTCTATTAGAATGGAAATCCACTACATGTAAAGAACACTTAATCAAACCTATAATTATGTAATCTACTTCAGGATTAATATTGGCCTAAAAAGTAAACTGGTGCTATGGTTGGTTTGATTATGGGATAGAATCTTTGAAGGAAGCAATCCCATAATGACTCTTTCCCTCCATAACTTCAGATTGCAGTCCTACACTCCAGCCAGCTAGAGCTACTAACTAGTGCTCATGCGAGCCACTATTCACATGGGTCCAGCCATGGAATATGAAGGATTTGGCATAAATCCATTGTCATCCCTTCACTAACAGCAAGTCCACTCGTCATCTCCAAATGTGAAGAACAATTTTTTAAACTGCCAATAGTGAAAACCAGAGAATGCTTCCCTAGTACAGGCAGCCTGAATGCAATCGAAATATATTTACTTTTTTTTTTTTTGTATTATAATTTACTGGATTACATGGAATTCAGACAGACACATGCTTTAAAGTAAAGATTACTCAAAAATTTATAGATAATTAAAGAAAAAGGGATCAATATCCATTAAGACTGTATTTTTCTATGTCAAGCTTCAAACATGACAGGGACCTCAGGAGAGTAAGACAAGTAATAACCTCCAAAGACATAGGACCAGACACTCAAGAACTAGACCACAGAAATGTTTTTCTGATTAGAAGCAAAACTGAACCAAAGACTAAAATGATCTGCTGTCCAGTATCTCACCAATTATTTTCATCTACTCAACTTCCCAGTTCCTCCTTAATATGCAATCCATATCTCAAAACACCTTTTTCCTGTTCTTGCTACTGTTCTGTTCACTTTGAAAAAGTTCAGATATAATAATTCTAGCATGTACCTTCTTCAAAGTTTGGTTTAGAGGGTCTGAATTAGGCTTCCAGGAAACATATTATAAACAAACTTACAGATTCTCAACACACTCTCAGTTAATAAAAACAAACTTCGTCCTGAATGTGGGTACTTTGTAATCACTTAAGTAGGAAGAAAATGAGAACGCACCATCCATCAGCATCATGAAAAATGCAACGTATGGATGGATTATCTCTGACTTTAAAACAAATGACACAATCACGATTTTAGAAGCTAATGTTATTTTTAAGTGTAATTCAGTAGTGAAACACGGTGTTCTAAAGGGCATTTATAGCAATACAGCAAGTAACATTAAATTCACAATTTTCCATGTCTAATTGATATATAATTATTGCTAAGACTACCCTGCATTTCTATCAGGTATGTTTATAATTGTGTCCATCACAATTTTTAGACTGTATTGGAACAGTTATTCATAGAAATTTCTTCAGTGCTCACACAAAAGGAAGACTTATGAAAATGCACATAAATGTTCTGCATTTGAACAGAAAGAAGCTATAACTTGAATGCATTCAGACCTGTAGCAGGCTGTTGCTGCTGTGTAAGTGTTGCAGCCATGGCAACGGCTGCCGCGTTTGGCATGGTGCTGAAAGGTGTGGGTCCAGTAGTAACTCTGGGTGCATTCTGCCACTTCTTAGCTTCCGCTCGCCTGGCTTCAAACACATCTACAGCATCTCCCAGGAACATTTTCCTATAGCCAAGGTACTGTTCTTTGAGCACCTAAAGAATAAAAAACATTAAAAAGCTAATTAATTCTGCATGGACATCAGCAACATATGAATGTAACCATGAAGTAAGTTTCCAAAGTAAGATCAAAGACACTGCCAAGATTATACATTTCACTAAAGAGTAAGCTGGAGTGCTAGTAATGCACATTGGTGTAGGAAGTGATGAGTATGAAAACTCGATCACTTTTTGAATAGTTTATTTCCTGTTTTTGTCACATATCTTCACAATACGTTGCCTAAAATATTCTTGTTTCATGAAGCCATTTAAAATGAGCCAGCTAAGCTTTCGAACAGGCAGAGAATTAAATAAATATTCTAGTTTTCATGAATTTATCCCCTCAAATGTCCAATCTTTTCATAGCCTTTAGATTAAAACAGTTTTAGAAAGCCAGCCCTATATATTACTTTTTTTTTAAAGGCATGGGTGACACATGCTAAAATTAGCTGGCCTATCTCAGCAGAGAGCACTTGGAGGATATAATCAGGGCTTCTACTTTATTGATATTGTTTAACTAGTGTACTATGAGAATGATTCATGTTGAGTTTACGAACCCAAACTGAAAAATTTTTTTAAATTATTTTATAACTCTAGAGCAGTGATTTTCAACTTGTGTGCTGTGAAAATTTGTAAAGATCATTAAATTATATTAGAAGGAAGTTCAGAGTACAGTTAAGTATATTCTTTTCTTTACTCTTTTTTTTTTTGATCAACATAAAGTTAGTGTGCCATGAAAGTTTGACTATGGGTTCAAGAATGCTTTGAGATAAAAAACATTGAAAAACACTTTGGTAGAGTAAGAAAAATTCCTAAGTTCACAAACTGGGCTGTTTTACTAAATGCAACATGTGCTTTGATTAAGGCCCATTAACAGGAAAGATTCTGTTTCACTTTAGACTGATTTAGTACTTTCATTAAAGATTTAGCCTAATTTAGGTAGGCTCTATAACTTGTTGAAGAGATGTAGAATTTCTGTATTTCTTACCTCTCTTAGCAGAAATTAATAAATATTAGGCTCTTTGATTACAACAGGTATAGCACTTAGAAATCTTATTGTTATAATATTTACAAGCTATCATCATCTTTGTGTGAATGTCAGTTTTTGATATTCCAGTTCCAAACTTTGCTACCTTTACAATGCACTAAAGTGAACTGAAAATTGAGGAAAATATAAAGTCAGAATCAGGGCATGTGATGGAAGAAAACAAACCTTATTACCAATGACCCCAAATCCACCCTTTCTTTTTCTGTGCAGTTCCATGTACATACCTATATAATATTTGGCATCAATATCTCATATGTTTAAGTTCTAACTCAGATAATGAGAAACAATGGCCCGTCCTAGAAGCCTGTAAAGGCTATTCATTAAAAAAATAAAAAATACCCCCAAACCCTAATGTCAGCCATGATTTGCATACATAGTGCCTAATCGCTAAAACTTCCAAATTTGTTAATGTCACTGAGGCCTGGCTTGATAAAGTAGTGTAAGCTTATTTACACAGATTATCTAATGAAAAACAAAAGGAACAAAAAAACACCTCTTGTGAGATTTCAATAAATAATGAAGAGTCTAGAACTTACAGGTAATTTGCTCACTAAAGTAAGCTGAAAATAAATGGCAGCACACCAAATCTGACTATAGAATATCTTTTAATTCTTGAGGATGTATTTAAAAAAAAGAGTAGGTCAAAATTTCATGTTAAGTTTATTCAATTTGACCTGGGGATGTTTTAAGTAAATCTCAGTCTCCTTGTTTTATGATCACGTTGCTAAAAGGGTATATTTTTCAAACCAGACAGGAGAAAGTGCCATTGAAAAAACATGTATATTTGGCTCAGCACCTGTAACTCAAGCGGCTAAGGCGCCAACCACATACACCACAGCTGGTGGGTTCAAATCCAGCCTGAGCCTGCCAAACAACAATGATAAGTACAAATAAAAAATCCGGGCGTTATGGTGGGCACCCGTAGTCCCAGCTATGTGGGAGGCTGAGGCAAGAAAATTACTTAAGCCCAGGACTTGGAGGTTGCTGTGAGCTGTGATGCTACAGCACTCTATCCAACACAACAGCTTGAGGCTCTATCTCAAAAAAAAAAAAAAGTCTTTATGAGAAAGATCCCCCTGGCAATTGCAGCAACACCAAAAATAAATGTGATCTGATGAAGCTGAAAAAAAAAAAGAAAGAAAGCAAGAAAGCAAAAACATGTATATTTACATATCTTTATCTGGGATTTACTTTAATATACTGGTGGGGGGCTTGGAGGGGTGGTGTAGGAAGCTTCCCTGTGTGGAGAATTGATAAACAAGCCCATCAGGATTTTCACAATGTGTAAATTAGGTGGTGGTATCTATGCACTTGTAACAGTATTCTACTTATCCATATATCAAGCTTTCATAATAAAAAATTTAACACAGGCTTCAAAGTGAAAATGTGAAATCTTTAACAGTTAAAAAAAATTAAATTACCACGTATTACAGACTAATAAAATTTTCAAAAAAATCTGATAAAAACTAATCCTTTAGAATAAAATTATCTTAAAGATTTGGTCTGGAGCTTTAAATTTACTAAAGCAAAAAGCCTAAAGTGTGCTATCATTTTAAAAATGGGTTATTTAAATTAACTTCCAAAAAAATTCTGTTACCATGTATCAGATTAAAACAAAAATACTGGTAATTCAGTTGAATTCTATACAGTTAATTATTTAGAGTTGAGTTTGGCTACTTTCAATTTTAAAGGGTTTCTCTGGACCATACATAGTCAAAAATTTAAGTACATTTGCTTGGTTAATTGAAAAAAAGTGCATTTACATTTAACATTTCACTTAAATAAATTTTGAAAACATTACATCAGGGTCAAAATATTCAGTGGCAGGTAAGTTTATTTATGTTATTTAATAAATACAAATATTTAGAAGGGAGAAATGCTATAAGCAAGTTTTTTATGTAGTGGACAGTAAACATCTAAAATACATATAATGCACAATCAAGGCAGTGCAAAATGATTTTGCTACTAAGAATGTATATCTTCTGTAGCACTATTTATAGTGGTAAAGAGAGGGACACAATCTACTAGGTCAAATGAATTATACAAACATACAATGAACTCTTTCTTAACTATTAAAAGTGATAATGTGTAAACATGTATTAACATGGGAAGTTATTCCTGCTATACTGCTGAAAAAAAGTTAAAATAATAGAATATGTAGGGTTCTGAATCTCTTTTAAAAGAATACATACCATGAATGGTTGTGTCTGGCTATGATTAGACTATAGTACTTCTTGTGTTTTCACTTATATGTAATCCTAGGTATTTCTGTACTAAGCATGAACACAGCTGTCCCCAAATAAGTATGTAGGTCTAGATATTCAGACAGATGAACTGGCAATGAAAACTTACCTTTACATTTTCATGAATAGACTGAAGTTGTGCAGCTAAAGCTACAAATGTTTGATAAATTTTCTGCATAGCCATTGACAAATCTATAAAAGAAAATTATATTATCACCCAAATATATATACTGCACAATTTTATTTTTCTATTATTTGAGTCTAATTTTTGGCATAGGGAATGTGTAGGAGAAAAGTGTTCCATCAATCTTCCATGGCTACAGAAGACACAGACTGAGCAGACTGAGAGGAAGATGTCTACATCACCGATCTGGGGAGGAAGAAGGTGCAAAGATTTCTGCCTTTGTTACCACAGTAACAATTCATAATAAAGCGTCTTATATTTACCAGGGATAAAAATCTGATCAAGGACTTTTAAGGAAATTTTCTTAAGGCAGCTACTAACAGTTATCTAGAATACCTATTATACAATCACAGTTTAATTTCTCTCCTACCAATAAAATATCAAAAAAATCACCACAATAAGCATGTTACCTTGTGGGGTTATATGTGAATTATTTGCTTGAGTGGCAAGATGATTTTCTAGTTCTTCAATCTGTTGTCTGTACTGCTGAAGCTGTACCTCAAATTGTTGAACCAAGATTCTGAAGTAGCTATAAAGAACATTTTAAAAGATCAAACTTTTAAAAATATTTTATTTTCAAAATACTAAATAAATATCCCCATTTTAGGGGCTTTGAATTTGTTTGAAGATATAATGTATCTTTTAAGTCACACAGATAATTCACTAAACCAAAAACCTAAATGTTGTAAATTTTCAAGGTATTACTCTAATCATGAGTGACAAATTAAAGGACATTTTATAAGATAATCGTAGTTTTTGAAAGTATCAAGATTACCCAAGACAAGAAAACACTGAATAAATGTCACAGATTGGAAGAAATTACGGAGAAATCACAAATAAATGCAATGTGAACCCCAGATAGGATCCTGGAGCAGAAAAAGTACATTAGTGGAAAAATTAGTTAAATTTCAGTAAGTTTCATATGTCTGTGAAAAATAATGAGGCATGTACAGTGCTAAGCACACTGCTTGGCAAACAGTAAGCACCTGGTAAATATTAGCTATTATCATCTTTATTAACATGGAAGGATTGTTTTTTTTTTTTTGAGACGGAGTCTCACTCTGTCACCCCACTTAAATGCCATGGCACCACAGCTCACAGCAACCTCAAACTCCTGGGCTCAAGAGATTCTTTTGCCTCAGCCTCTGGTAAAGTTGGGACCACAGGTGTCCACCACAACACCTGGTTAATTTTTCTGTGTTTAGTAAAGACAGGGTCTTGCTCTTGCTTAGGCTGGTCTCCAACTCCTCAGCTGAAGCAATCTACCTGCCTCAGCCTCCCAGAATGCTGGGATCACAGGCGGGAGCCACTGTGCCCTGTCACATGGAAGGATATTAAAATAGAGAAAAGATATAGATCTCATGTATGAAAACCAGATGAATGTATAAGCTGAATGATGTAATTACAGGTGGATTTTTTTCCTTTAACTACATTTTCTAATTTTTCTTCCTAAAGATAGATTACCTGTATAAATAAAAAGCTATGCAAATAAGTAAATGGGTTAAACTACATTTAGTACACACTGTTTAAGAATAGACTACCACAAAATTATTTTTAATTTAAAGGCCCTAATGGGTAAAAATTATGTTTCCACTACCTGCAAAGTTAATAAAATATAAATAACAGACTCTGTGAGTAACATTTACATTAAGTGTAACTGTGTTATAGTGGTGAAAAGCTCAGATCTTAGCTTTCACTTACCTTTCAATTACATGGAGATAATAACGGGGATAAATCCTCTTAGCATTATACGAGAAATTTAAAAACCCAGTCTTTCCATATAGTGAACTATAACATGTATATTATTACCATTCTGTTTTCTTAAACTGAGAAACATTTCTTAAAAAAGCAAAATCCAGTAACTTACTCCGCAGGAGCTGTATTTTCATGTTGAAGTCCAGGTGGTGTTTTCTGGGTTCTTAAAGCTATTTCAGCGTTCTTTAATTCCTAATATACCAGACATTTAAAAGAATAAGAAAAAAGCTAGTTAAGAGTTAGACTAAAAATACCAGCTATTTCTAAATTGAAGCTTCAAACAATGTCATTGTTGAGGGGTCATGCAATAAGGACGTATTAAGGATTAAGCTGTTCTTCAAGTTGCAAAAGATATTAAAAATTACATTTTCTCCTTTTTTAAAGAAATGGAGGTCTCACTACTGCTTAGGTTTGATTTGAACTCCTAGGCTCAAGAGACCCTCACTGCTTCAGTCTCCTACGTAGCAGGACTAACTGTGTGTACTGCCATGCCTGGGTCTCAAACTACATTTTTTTTTAAATTATTAAATCATAGTTGTGTACATTAATCCAATCATGGGGTACAATGTGCTGGTTTTATATACAATTTGAAATATTTTCATCAAACTGGTTAACACAGCCTTCACGGCATTTTCTTAGTTATTGTGCTAAGACATTTATAGTCTACATTTAGTAAATTTCACATGTACCCCTGTAAGGTAATAAAGTTTATGTATTTTTTTAAACTGTGGATTTCTGTAGGATTCACGAAGCAAATTTCATCCACAGTGAAAAGATTATGCTACTATTCAAAAGTCTTCAATATGTAAATGCAGAAAATACTTGTTTTTTGGTGACCAAGTCTTACTCTGTTGCCCTAGGCTAGAATGCAGTTAGCATCATTGTAGCTCACTATAACCTCAAAGGCCTGGCTCAAGCAATCCTGTCTCAGCCTCCGAGTAGCTGAGGTGTCAGGCACATCATAACACCTGGCTCTTTCTTCCTATTTTTAGTAGAGATGGGTCTTACTCTTGCTCAGGCTGGTCTCCAACTCTTAAGTCAAGAAATCTTCCCATCTTAGCTTCCCAAAGTGCTAGGATTGCAGGTGTGAGCCACCTCGCCTGACTGAAAAACACCATACGTATTTTTTAAACAGGCAAAGCCAAAAATACTACTTTTTTAAAAAGGCAAGTAGTAACACTGAGGCTGACATTGGCAACATTTAACATCAGGGTGGTTACTATGTACCAAGCTAAAGACCCTACTTACATTATTTTGATTACTTCTCTCTCAATGTTTTTCTTTTTATAGAAGAAATGGAGATAAAGAGACATTAAATAACTTGCCCAAATTCCATGCTACTGGAAACCTGAGAATTTAATCTAGGGGCAGCCTAGATTCTTTTAAAGTTTATACACTTAAGCACTCTACTTTACCTTCTGCTATTCCTTAATGTCATTTTTATCTTCTAACCAATGTTTTTCCAAGACTTATATTGTTTTACCCACTTATATTCCACATTCCAATAATTTCACTGCTTTTTCAATCTCTATTTCTTATTTTCAAAAGAGTATCTTAACTTTACATTCCCTGTAGCAACCTCTTTCTCTCATTAAACTGCTAGGCTAAGTCTTTCACTGTTTTTCTGCTACCTGTTCACCCTTAAACTCAAGCTTCCACCCTGCCCCACTCTAGTACAAATGCCCTGGAGAGGTCTGTGCCATCAGGCCTCTGAGCCTTTCCTACTTCTCTGAGACTGTCAGGCCCAGAGTCCTGTAGCACCAGACTGCTTACAGATCCTAAACATGTCTACTTCATGCCTCCCTTATCTTTGCTCATTAACCTTCCATTTTATCAGCCTGGCAAATGCCTACTATGTCTCAAGACTCAATGTAACTTAAAGACACATAAAGACCTTTAAAATTTATACTTAAATATTATCACTTAATCACTCTCGCAGGCCCACAGCAGAAAGGCATATCACATGAAGTTCATTAACAGACCAACATTAACTTTAGGAAAAGACTGCTAGACTGCCACAATGCAATCAAGTATATTTTACATTTATGATATACAAATCACAAGCAAACCACCTACTATCATCATTTCTCACTGGCATAGAAATGAATTACATGATATATATTGTACAATAAGAAGAAAAATCAAGGAGATGTGACAGATTATATTAGCCTCATTACTGTTTTTATTAACTAAGATCTAATCAAGACCAGTAAATCATTTTTTTTTTTTTTTGAGACAGAGCTTCAAGCTGTCCCCCTGGGTAGAGTGCCATGGCATTACAGCTCACAGCAACCTCCAACTCCCGGGCTCAAGCGAGTCTCCTGCCTCCGCCTCCCAAGTAGCTGGGACCACAGGCGCCCGCTACAACGCCCGGCTATTATTTGGTTGCAGCTGTCATTGTTGTTTGGCGGGTCCGGGCTGGGGATTCGAACCCGCCACCCTAGGTGTAGGTGGCTGGCGCCTTAGCCGGTTGAGCCATAGGCGCTGAGCCCATGGACCAGTAAATCATTAACCAAATGTAATAACTACATAGCATGATATAATTTTTACTTAGTAATTGAAAAATTTTTTAAAAAACCATTATTTCCTTACTAGCTATGTTTCCTCCTATATGATAGATCAATTTAGCCAGAAGACACTCTTATGAAACAGTTAAGAGCATAAAGTCTGGAATGGGACTATGAGGGTCTGAATTCAGAATCTTTAACTTATTAACAAAGCTCTCTGCCTGTGTTATTTTTACACAATGAGGATAACAATACCAACAACCACCTTATAGAGTTTTCAGGAAAACTAAATTGGTTTAATAGATTTTAACATACTTAATATATTGTCTGTTATATAATAAAAACTAGTAACTATTATTACTATATCAATTTAAAAGTATGTGAGCTATCTGGTTTTCTCATGTCTGTATTAAACTTTATAATTAAAAAAAGAAAACTCTTGGTTGGGCGTAGTAGCTCACGCCTATAATACTAGCACTCTAGGAGCCTGAGGCAGGAGATTACTTGAGGTCAGGGGTTTGAGAACTCAAGTCTCAATTCATTAACTTTCCATTACTTAGACCCCTGTCTCTAATAAAAATAGAAAAATTAGCTGGACATGGTAGCATGCGCCTATAGTCCCTATAGTTACTCAGGAGGCTTAGACTTGAGCCCAGGAGTTTGAAATTGGTTGTGAGCTAGGCTGGGGCCATGGCACATCAGCCTTGGTTAACAGGGTAAGATGCCATCTTAAAAACAAAAACAAAAAAACCCCCTATTTCTACTTTGGAAAACGAAATAAAATAAACTCTAACTCTCCTTACGTCAACATGGCTGTAAATCAATGTACCTGAGCAGTTTCTATTTTCAATTTGTCGATATTGAGAGTGTTTCTCTGTAATCCACTGGCAGCCAATGACAGAAGCTGTTTTAGAGCTTTAATATCTTCTTGTACTTTAAGCATTGCTTTTGATGACATTCTACTAATTTCTTCTTGGACTTGCTTTTGTTCCTTCACAAATTTCCTTTGAAAAAACAAAAAAAAAAAGAGTTTAAAAAAAATACATCTTTGGTTTCTTACAAAATAGTGTATTTATGATAGGCTGGTCAAAGTCCAAGTGTTTTAAGAAACAAAAACTGAAAATTAACACAGTTCACAACTTGTTTTTACAGAATGGCATTTACAGAATTTTAAGTTCTGTTGTTCTATGTTGTTTACAGTAAGCATTAAAATTTTAACTGGAATTAAAATGTTTAGGAGGAAAAGCTGTTCCCCTTCAAAATGTATTCTAGAATTTTTTTATCAAATCGTATCTGACACTTACTGGAGATTTTCAACATCCTGGTAGATGACAGGAGGTAGACTTTCATCCTTCAGTGCTTTACTATCCCTAAGAAAAATGCCACAAATACATTAAAGCCATTGAGATTTTTAAAAGTGGACAGCTAAGTTCTACTAGAGTATGTACAAAGATATTAAAAACTATAGCAAATGTTCTCCACTTACAGGTTCTTTGGATAATTTCAAAGTTCTTCATAAAATAACAATAAACTTTCTAACCTATAAATTTATTCTAACAATTCATTTAACATAGAGATTTCTTATCTAAGAAGATCCACAGCACCTATTATAAATATACTTAAAAGCATCAGATGAAATGTCTAAGGAAACAGAAAATATTACAGGCTAGGCCCGGTGGCTCACGCCTGTAATTCTAGCACTCTGGGAGGCTGAAGTGGGCAGATTACTTACGCTCAGCTGGTTTGAGACCAGCCTAAGCAAGAGTGAGACCCTATCTCAAAAAAAAAAAAAAAGCTGGGCATTGTGGTGGGCTCCTGTAGTTGCAGCTACTTGGAAGGCTAAGGCAAGAGAATCAGTTGAGCCCAAGAATTTGAGGTTGCTGGGAGTTATGATACTGTAGCACGCTACTGGGGAGCAATAAAGTGAGACTCTGTCTAAAAAAAAAAAGAAAATATTATAGACTGGGTGAGGTAGTGAACTAGGTTCCCTCTCACTCAACGATTCTATAGCTAACATTATTTTATTCAAGTAAAAAATATTAATCATTTAAAAAAGCCTATAAAACTCCTCATAATGAGATATAGATAGTCCTTGAGTTACAAATACCTGTTGACGTACAACTCGCATTTATGAACAGAGGCTATCATAGGTCATATGTAAATGTACATGTTCCAACTTATATACAAGTTCCACTTAAGAAAAACCTAGAGAGCCTATCTTGTTCATAACCCAGGGACTGCCTGTACTCAAATATGTTCTTATAAATTCAATCAGTTCTTCAATGTGCACTGTGATGACTAAGTAAGACCTAGGAAGAGCATAAAGGAATCACAAATATGTCATGAGGGCAGAGACAAGTGAAATTTAGCATGCTATACCATAATCATGATTTGTATTTCATAATCCTTGGCTGACTTCACTCTCTCATCCTCTTCATTTACTTAGTAGGATAAAATATACATAAGGTGTTTGTGAGGAGTGAATCTGCCCATGTATTTACAAATGCTTTATTTAATGTAATACAAATTCAACGAGAAAATGTAATTGGTCATAAAAATAATGATCCTGCCAGGCATGAAGGCTCATGCCTATAATCCCACTGCTTTGGGAGACAGAGGAAGGAGGATAGCTTGAGGCCAGGAGTTCAAGACTAACCTGAGCAACATAGTGAGACCTCATAACTACAAAAAAACAGAAAACAATTAGTAGTATGATGTGGTGGTATATACATGTAGTGCTGGAGTCTGAGCTTGCAGTGAGCTACCACGACGTCACTGCAGTCCAGGCTGGGTCCAGGCTTAAAAGGTCTTGCCTCAAAAAATAAAACAAACAAACAAAAAACTAGTAATAAAAAACAAAGATCATATAAAGACTACTTTCCCTCTTCACTGAAAAAATCAGGAAATAAAATGGTACTAACATTTATAGTAACATTTTAAAAAAATGCTTTAAATGTAAAGTTCTACGAGTTGTTCAGTATGTGTATTGAAGTTAAAATAAACACATTTATTTGTACCATTTCTGGAAATGTCATTTACCTTTCTAGAAAGAAATAGTTTTAAATTTTCTTAATGACTAAAAATTAAAGATTTGATCTTTTGTAATCTTTCCAGAGTATGTTTATTTTTTATAAATACTGGTTAAGAAGATAATTGTTCTTGATAATGTATACATAGTTGTATTTACTTCCAATCATACATACCATTTACCTACAATAAGTAAAATTCTTTAATTAAAATATCTTAAAAGTTAAACTGTAAACTTACTCTGGTCTTGTTCCTGTTTTGTCACCTAGAAAATTCAAGAAGGTTCATGTAAATGCAGGTAATTTAACAATGTATTCCAAAACAAATTTAATACAAATTTCAGCATAAATATAAAACTGTTAGCCATTTCTTAGCTTCCTCTTAAACATCATGTAATATTGTGACTTGTTATGAATTTAGAACACAGCATTATTATGGAGACATACACACACACAAGCAGACATGTGAAATAACTACCTTGTATCTACTTTCAAGGGCAAGAATACTCAATTCTCTACTATCATCCACAAAAAATCCTGTACAGACAGTTTATATTGGTTTTTTTGTTGTTGTTGTTGTTTGTTTTTTGGTGGGTTTTGGCAGGGGCTGGGTTTAAACCTGCCACCTCTGGCATATAGGGCCAGTGCCTTATTCCTTTGAGCCAGACAGTTTATACTGTTACCAACTGTTTAACTCCTGATACCTTCTCTTGACACTTCTTAAGGCTCTCTCAGTACAGAATACTGTATGTCAGATTACCTAAATTTGTCCAATCTAGCAATCCTTAAAACAACTGTCTCAATTTTCCTTCCCATCTGCCACAAATAAGAGCACCTCTGTACACCCTTTACAATAGTCATCATACTTTAAAAAAGAATCTTAGCTAGTCATACAGGTGAAAAGTACCACTTCATTATAATCTTAATTCATATTACAGTATTAGTGAAGAAAAACATTTTTTCCAAATGTTCATTAGACAAGGATATTTATCTTTTTTGAACTCATGTGATTTGCACATTTTTCTTGACATTATGTTTTTATTTCTCAGAATCATATATATTTCAATAATAAGCATATAATTCTTTACTCACATATATGTTTCACATGTCTATTTCTAAAGTTAGACTCACAATTATATACTGATTTCAGAGATATTAAAATTGAAAAAAATCAGCACCTAAAAATCAAGTATTTTACTTTTCATTTACATTTTACCTTTATACATGGGGTTTTCACTTTTTTACCTCTTTCATCCAACTCTAATATATTTTTCCATATTTTATATTTCAATGATTCTAAGATTTTTTTTCTTTCATAGGTTAATATCTCTGAAATTGGTACCCATCTTCTATATACACATAAGTCTTAGATTTGATGAGACATGGAAATAAAAATGGGGATTTGATTTTCGTTTTTTTAAATAATTCACCAACTTTAATTGACTAGTATACTATTCCTTGATGTTAATTTTTACTACATTTTATACATATTTGTATACATACATGGGGCCTTTTTCTACTACACACCCCTGATTCCATGGACCTCTCTCTGACTTAATCCACCCAGTTTTGACTCAGTAATGTATGTACATGGACCACCAAAAAGCCACCTAGCATGTCTCCTGCCTTCCTTCATGCTGTTTTTCCATACGGCTATCGGAATGCTTTTAATCTTAAAATTCAAGTCTCATCAAATCCCTTCAGTAGATTCCAACACTTTCACTATGATGACAAAACTCACCTGTGGTACACAATACCCTTCATAACCTCTGGAATCTGAACTTTCTGCTTTATGACTACATTGGCCTTCTATCAGTTCTTTAAAAGGGTCGAGGTCCTTCTCATCTCTAAGCCTTACTCTATGCTGTCTCCTCTTCACTGAATACTATTTCCTACCACTCTCCATCTGGCTAAATCCCACCAACACTGCAGGTCCCAAGCTAACGGATACAGGTATTGCTATTAGAAAAAAGAGAAATCTTTTAGATTAAAAAAAAAAAAGAAAGAATCCTCTGATACATACAGCATACAAAAGGGAACTGGGATACAATACATGTAATTGTGTGCATTTACTCCAGGCAGGCTCTTTACTCAGCTCTAGTCTGGGCACACTAAGAGAGCAAGACTATGTAGGCTCTAGAGAGGAGATTACCTCCTTACATTTCTCTCACTCCTCTGCCTCAGCCTGCTCTTTCACATGAAGCCTCAAAGCAATTAGAATGAACAGAGAAGTAGCCTCATACTTAAAAGTAGTTAGGGGTTACTAGGCTGTTCCATCTGAGTAAAAAAAATAAGCTGTTAAAACATTTGAGGATACTTTTCTAATAATAGAGTTACCATTAATACTAATACAAAGAAAACTAAGTAAAAACAAGAGATAGAACTCTGTTTAGAAATTAGTAAATTTTCTAAGAGAAATAAACCCAAATTATAAAAGTTCAAAAGTTACTTTTAAAATAGTGATTCACCCTAGTATCTCCTTAAAATAAAAACTGAGTCTAGTTTTTTAAAAACTTAGATATTTAGACATTGACTATTTTACACCTTCATGTATTTATCTCATTGCTCAGAGAAGTTCAACGAGATCTGTGTGCAAATACATTCTATTACATAGTGAATACTCAAGTGAAATATGCTCCCCTTCAGAAACAGGGGAGATAGTGCAAAATAAAAAAAGTCACCCATACAGAACTAAAACCAAAAACTTTTCAAAATGAATTTGAGTTGGCAAATTTTTAAAAGCAATATTCCATGTGGCAAGGGCACAGCAAGAACAGTATTTTCTGACTGGTTAGTGGGTAAATAGGTAAAATAGTATTTCAGACTGGTTAGGAGGTCAATAGGTAAAACCCTTCTGGAAAGTAATTTAACAATATATATACTAAGAGTCTCCAAAATGTCCTGCTATTTAGGCCACTGATCCACTTTCTAGGTATTTTCCCTAAAGAAAACCAAAAATACAAACAAAAATTTATAAGAAAAGTAAGCACCTAAACAGCATTTATTATATGTCTGGTTCTGCTAAGGTTTAACAAATAGTAATCCTCAAACCCCTTTACAGATAAGGAAAACTAAAGCACAGAGAAGATAAATAACTTGAATAAGATTCTTATATAAGGAGTTGAACCAGGATTTGAAACCAGGCAATTTACCTCCAGAGTAGATACTCTTAAAATAGTATATTACGTTGCCTTTTACAAAAAGATGCCCAGAACACGGATACTTCCCAGAATAAAGAGACTAGAAACAAACACCTACCAATAGGACAGTAGATGAATAAATTATGATATATCCATCCATGAAATTGCTATTAAGTAGCATTAAAATATTTTAGAATTACAAATACTTCTGATGTTACATAAAAAAGAAAATAATGTGTGATGAGCCCAATACTAAAATATATATTAAGATCTACACATTAAGATAACTACATAAGATACGGACATACAGAAATAAAATCTTAAATGCACAACTCACATAAAATTTGTGAAACATTAATAATGCAACAAACTTAAAAGTAAAAACTACATTACTGAATACATAATTAATAATCTTCCAGACCCAGGAATTTTGAAAAATCTAGAAGTTCCCTCAATAATACTGTTAGAACATAGACTTAGAAGAAAATTACTTACTCTTTTTATCTGATGAGCTACTAAAATCTATACCACCCAGGCCTTCATTGCCTGCAGCTGATGTAGCTGTCGTAGTTCCCAAAGTCAAGCCTAAAGCATTCTGTCCGAGTCCTATGGAGAAACAAAACATCATTTACAAAATTCTTTGCAAGACTTTGTAACAACTTCCCCTTACTGGCAAAAGCACCCAAATGCCTTTAAGTTGAATCAAGATTTTCTTCATACTTGATTTAAACAAATAACAAGAAACAAGTCTAAGGAGTAGGCTTTATACAAAGATAGATAATCCTGCTTGAATTCAATGGTGTATGTAGTTCAGATAATGTAATTTTTCATTCAACATATGTGGACACTAAATTTTTGTTATCTTCAAACCTTCTTTACAAAAGCAGTTTCAGTCGGTATATTTCCAGATGAATACATCTTATCTTCCAATCACACTTTGGAATTGCATACTTTTAAAATAATCTGGCTCGGCGCCTGTGGCTCAAGCGGCTAAGGCGCCAGCCACATACACCTAAGGTGGAGGGTTCGAATTCAGCCCAGACCTGCCAAACAACAATAATGGCTGGAACCAAAAAATAGCCGGGCGTTGTGGCAGGCGCCTATTTCCCAGCTACTTGGGAGGCTGAGGCAGGAGACTCACTTGAGCCCAGGAGTTGGAGGTTGCTGTGAGCAGTGAAGCCATAGCACTCTACCCAGGGTGACAGCTTGAGGCTCTGTCTCAAAAAAACAAAATCTAGTGTGAATTTGAGTATAAAACATACTAAGTATAATTTCTTCTTTTCATAAAACTTTTTTAAAAATTAGATTTCATTTATTTAAATTTTACCTCATTGATAGACGGGATTAAAAGGACTATAATCAGAATTCATTAATGTGTACTTGTGAGTCAAGTAGCAAATTTCAAAGATCTTATGTTGGTAAAACTGTTTCTGTAAGACCATGCATTTATTTCTAAGCTGACATGTTTATTCTTTTTAGGTAAGTTAATTTTTATTTTAAAAATAGAGGAAATAGCTTGGGACACCTAAAAACTGAATTTAAATTCTGGCAATGTGTGACAAAAGCAAAGCTAAATAAATGATTACTACTACAATAATTTTAAAAAATGGTACCTTTGTTTTAAGTAAACATAATCACTAAATGGGTATTATGTTAAAAGTCTAAGAAGAATTAAAGTATACTTTCTTGTATTTTATCATAAAGTATAAAAATTCAGTAGAGACAGAAAACCCTTTACCTATTATTTTTTCATTGTGCATTCATTCTTTTATCTTTATAAGAGATATTTTTTAATTTAATTTTTTTTGAGGCAGAGTCTCAGTCTTTTGCTCCAGGCTAGAGTACCCATGGTGTCATAGCTCACAGCAACCTCAAACTCCTGAGCTGAAGTGATCCTCTTGCCTCAGCCTCCTAGGTAGCTGGGATTACAGGTGCTCACCACAATGCCCAGCTAATTTTTCTATCTTTTTTAAACAGGGTCTCACTCTTGCTCAGGCTGGTTTTGAACTCCTGAGCTCAAGTGATCCACCCACATTGGCCTCCCAGAGTGCCAGGAATACAGGCATGAGCCACCGTGCCTGGCCTATGAGAGACGTTTAAATATTTATCATTGCTTCTTGGCCTTTTAGCTAAGATCAAGTGTAAATGTATGTCCTGCAAATAAATACATGTTAGTCATCTAGTGACTGAGGTATTAGAAGACATTTTGAGTATCTTTAAAATTAGACAATAAGGACAAAAGTAAGTATTTGAAAGATAAATGTGAATTTGAATGCAACAAATTTCTGTATGTTATCCTGACCAGCCCCTTTTTTCCATGTCCATTAATGCAGATTTTCGCCATAAAATTTAGTATCTGAATAGAGGACCTAGAAGAATTATAGCTTCTTTACAGAAGAGAAAACATCGAGTCATTCCTTCATGTCTCTCATACAACCAAGCAAGCATCAGATACATATTAGAGGCTCAGCAAAACTCAAAGTAAACAGCCATTCATTCGAGACAATGTCATGCTCTACTGTCCAGGCTGAAGTGCAGAGCTATCACTCACCAAATATCTACTATTCTGGAGAATAAATACTATCAATTACCTGTTGTTGCTGTGTTTGTACTCTGGAAAAGCGAACCTCCCAAACCAGCTAAGGCTCCCCCTAAAGAAAGGCCTGTAGATGCAGTTGTAGTTGTGGCTGTTGTTCCACTCAAATTATTTAAAGTAAATCCTGTGGATGCTATAAAAAATGGGATAGTAAGCTTTAAAAAGTAACAGTAGAACATCGCAAAAAATCAAACCATTTTTTAAAGAAACTGACTGGGTCTTTAGAAAAACAACTTGTTAAAGATAATATTATATATATGTAAGAATAAAGAGTAGCTTTGGTAATATAAATAAGGGCTTAGGGTAATATTAGCATGGTACCAGGTAACTAATTCTAGAAAGCAAGTTTTAACCCAGGCCACCCATTCTACCTTCAAAATCAAATGAATCTCAAGCCACCCAAGGTTTATAGGAAGTCAAACAAAGTAGATATTAACAGCTTTACATTTTACCTCTCTAACCCTCTCCCCGTTTTGCCCTATAAATAGCAAGATTTCTCAAGATAGCCTCTGCTGTTTTAATGCATAGCACTCACATTTTTTCTTTACAAATCAATTATTTTTTTTAAGAGAAAGAATTTCACTACAATACCCAAGCTACCTTCTAACTCCTGGGCCCAAGCAATTCCACCACCTGAGCAACCCAAGTAAATGGGACTACAAGTACACTACTATACTCTTAACTACTAATCAATCATTTAGTAGGTCATGACTGCTGAATGATTAAAGTGAAAATTCCCCAAACAAGGAATGTTTAAGAAAGGTGCATATCTATGTTCTCTAATCAAACAAAATTTAGCCATTAAATGCATCCTTTTTTCCATTCTGCCTCACCTGCTGGAGTTGACGTCAGGGCAGAGGAAAGAGTCAGACCACTAGCTGAGGTAGATGTAATAGGGAGAGCAAACGGGGTGGCAGACGCTGCAGGTTTATTGAATCCTAAACTGAAGCCTGTTGTAGCTGCAGATGTAGTGGCTGGTGTTCCTGTTTAAACAAATTATAAAAATCTATTTTATCTCAAATATATGTACACCATACTGGTTTCAATAAGGATCCCCAGAAGTCTGTGATCCTACTTTTGTCAATAGAAGGGTATATACATGTGAGGAAAAACATATAAAAGCTGGGACTAAATCATGATGAATACAGAAAAGATGGCTCTGTGGGTTAAGAAAAGCAAAAGAAAGCCCAATCAATTTAATGTCACAATCAATTCCAATTCTACCCCTAGATTTATCCCCAACTGCATTTATCTTTCTCCCTACCCTTTATATGCAACAAAAAAAATAGAAACTACCATTGTCTATTCCAGAGTCTCTATCAGCTTCCAGCTCACTATTCCTCTTCAGTCCTCTTCTATAAATTCCCCCATTCATATTCTGATACTCCATTCCTGCTTCCTTACTTCCCCAGTGATCTCACTCATGCCTTCCATGGTGCCTTTCCCAGATCTATTAGAGCAGAAGTTCTCAACTTGTAGATTGCGAGCTCTTTGGTGGGTTGAAAGACCCTTTCACAGGGGTCACCTAAGACTATCCTGCATATCAGATATTTACATTACGATTCATAGCAGTAGCAAAATTACAGTTATGAAGTAGCAACAAAAATAATTTTATGGTGGTGGGGGTCTCCACAACTTGAGGAACTATATTAAAGGGTCGCAGCATTGGAAGGTTGAGAACCACTGTATTAGAGAATTTACCAGATTATACGAGAACATTTATTAATAATATATGTTACTGGGCCTGTCTTGGGCCTGTCCCCTCACCCCACAGCAGACTGAATGCCCTGCTCCTGCACTTAGTAGTTCCTGAGATCATCAGTACCATCTCACCACCAGCACCATCAATAGGGAATGTTCAAAGCGTTATGTATACATAAGACCACACAGTTAGAGAGTAGTAACTGCAAATAATGAGAAATGTATAAATGACTTGTATTTTGCCATCTCTTTAAATCATGGAGAAGAAAAGAAGCCAGAATCTTTACTTCTGGATCTTCCTGATACAACTGGAAGTTCATGCAGAATCCAGTGTTTTAAAATCACATGTTGGTTCTACAATCTCACAAAACAAGAAGACTAAATTGCTTGCCTTTTGCAGACAATTCTGTCCAGAACTTTGGTAGTGAACGAATATATTGTTTTCTTTTCTTTTATTCGTTCCTTTTTTTTTTTTTTTTTTGAGACAGAGTCTTAAGCTGTCGCCCTGGGTACAGTGCTGTGGTGTCACAGCTCACAACCACCTCAAACTCTTGGGCTCAGGTGATTCTCTTGTCTCAACCTCCCAAAGTAGCTGGGACTACAGGCGCCCGCCACAACACCCGGCTATTTTTTTGTTGTTGCAGTTGTCTTTGTTGTTTTAGCTGGCCTGGGCCGGGTTTGAACCTGTGAGCTTCAGTGTATGTGGCTGGCACCCTTACCCACTGCGCTATTACTGGTGCCGCCTTATTTATTTATTTATTTATTTATTTTTTGGAGACAGAGTCTCACTCTGTCACCCTAGGTAGAACACCATGGCATCACAGCTCACAGCAACCTCAAACTCTTGGGCTTAAGTGATCTTTCTCAGTCTCCTCAAATAGCTGGGACTACAGGCACCTGCCACAATGCCTGGCTAAAATATGCTGTTTTCTGTTAATAACAAACAGGTAGGTAGCATCCAAGTACACACAGTCTGTCAATCTCTACTCTAAACTCAATTTAAGAGCTTCGCAACATCATTTCATTTCCTTTTGCATTATTTACTGCCATCCAGATTCAAAGCAGGCCGAAACTCTAGTTATTCATACTCCCTTCAGTATACCTCTACAGAAACTACTATGTTTTTGAGCTGGAAGGAAAGCCAAAACCCTCACTTTATAGATAACTAAAAGCTCTCAGACATTAACTCCAGACTAGTTAAAGGTATAGAGCTTAATTCTGAGAGTCTGGCTTATTGTCTACTGCTTTTTCCACTGAACAGAGTTACATAACTGAAAAAGCAACATGAAAAATAAATTTCCACAGTAAAAATCATCTCTGTATTTAAAATATTTTTCTAAATTAAAAAAGTACCATATGAAGTAACTCTTTTCTTTAGTAAGGAACACAGGGTCTTTGACAAGTCAATATCCATGGTAGGTGTTCATTTCTTTACATACTTTCTTCTATACCTCAGCTCTGTGAGATATTAAAAAGGAATAGAAAGATTACTCAATTAATTTAAATTGTTAGAAAACTACAGATCTGGGGTCTTTCCTCAAAAATTCTTACCCAGAGTTAATCCTGTAGTTATAGTTGTTGCTATTCCTGGGGATAAAAAGAGAAATAAAAATTTAATTACTGACGAGGATGGCATCCTTCTGGATTACCTGCCATAAAGGAGCCCTCACAGAGTAAAATCACTTCTAGTAAGACCAATACATATCATGGTATCTGCCACCATTAACCATAATACGAGTAGTTTTCCTCTAGCACTGGTTTTCATATTAGAGGCTACATATAATGATTTGTCAGGGAATAAGATTTACAAAAGGCAAATAATTGCTTATAGCAAAATTAAGCAAGGTGAAAAAAGGTTACTCTCAGCAAAACACTGGACATCTGTCTCCAGCTCATTGGCTGGCCTGTTCACATGTTCTCCTGAAGTTCTTTCATATTCTAGACGTGGTTATGAGTGTTTCACTCAAAGCTGGAAGGCCAATGCAAAAGGTGGTAACAAAGACCAAGAAGCTCTGAGGGTAGAGAATAAAAGGTAAATAAGGAAGCAACCGTTCTATATGGAAATGGTCAGCTCTAGTGAAACATCATTTTTTAGCTGTAAGTATTAAAAACAAAAGTAGTCTATTATTGGAATGTCTATGAGAAACCCTCAAATCTTTTAATTCTTGTCCTTTTTCCACTTAAACAATTGTTTTAACAATCCAAAAATTTAAAACATCTCTTAGGAATATAAATCATGCTACAGCAAAAGGAGATGCTGACTATCCCATATATATTATGTTCCAAATTAGTAAAACTGGCTTAAATGACAATCTTCACTAGGTGAAACACTGTATTATACAATCTAATACAAAAATGTAAATTACCATAACTCATTGTATTGCAGGAAGTATCTTCAATTTATTGAAAGAAAGATTCAATACGTGTGTTTATTTTCCTTCCTTACACTAGAGAAGACCATAGTGAATGTTTGAGCCTATCACTGGCCCTTAATTCCTGATTCCCATATTTCTTTCCATTTTAATATTTACCATTTTTTAAGGTATACTACCAACAATGATGCTTGTAAAGGGAGATGTAGACAGAATCTGAAGAACAATTATCCCAATCCCTGAAAATGTGATGATCCTCCTCACCTGTATTTGTTCCTCCTAGGGTGAACCCAGTGGCAGGTTTAGCTCCAAAGAGCCCAGTTCCAAAACCACCAGAAGCAGATGTAGTTGCTGGAGTCGCAGTACTTCCAAGAGTTCCAAAATTGAGCCCCACAGAAGGGTTGCTTGTTTATAAAACAAAACACACATACACACAAAATAAAGTCTAGTAGAGCCAATTTAACTCTTCAGGGTAATTTTCTTTCATGTAACACATCTAATTATGTTGCCATAGTACCCAAAAGGAACTAACAAATTTACCATTAACCAAGCAAATTCAAATATTTCTCTTTTCTCTTTAAAAAAGAATCCACAAGTAAGATTAATCATAAAAAAAAAATAATATCAGGCTTCAAGAAAAGCATAGCCTATAGCAATTAGGATTTTGATCTCAAAGTAATCAAAAGCATAGGTCACACATATTCTGGTTTCACCAGGTTTTGTTTGAAACCTAGCTTATCTTAAAACAGTCATAGAAAAGTTACTCTACATTGGCTTCCCCACCTCTCTAGGGCTGTGTTTACCATATTCCCTGGGGGTGGGATGTCATGCAGTTAGGTATCTTGCTACAAAAAAAAAAAGGAAACTAGAACACTTGGGAGGTGGGGGCATATCCTGGCAAAAGTTAAACACACGCAAAACTACCAAAACTACCTTGTCTCGAGATTATGTGTTCATTAGCAAAAACTCTATTCAGAGAGCTTTTGAAAATTTTAAAAAAGAAAAGCTGATAAAAACAAGTAAATGTGAACAAAGTTCACAGCTTTTTTACTATTCTTATCAAGTCCCAGAGGCTCGAATTTGCTACCTATAAGTGGGAAATAAGTTTAAAAATCTGGGCAATTTCGCATTTCAAATATTATTTATGGGTAGGACTGGCAGGGTACTGTGGCACACATGAATAATCCCAGCACTGTGAGAAGCCAAGATGGGAGGCTCTCTTAAGGCCAGGAACTTAAGACCAGCTGGACAACATAGGAAGACCATGTCTTTATTTATAAATAAAAAATAAAAAAGCCAAGTATAGGACACATGTCTGTAGTTCCAGCTACTTGGAAAGGTGGGTGAGAAGACTGCTTGAGCCCAAAATTCGAAGCTGCAGTGTTTTAGGATTGTGCTGCTATGCTGCAGCAGGCTGGGTAAGAGAATGAGACTCTGCCTCTAAAAGAAAGAAAAATTACCTAGGAAAGTTAAGAGAGATTTTAACAACATGACTAGCATAATGAGAAATGCCATTGTCCTACATATTTATCTGTATTACTTCTCTCTCTGCCATTCCATAAAGACATAGTCACCAAGAAAGAACTCAACATCATTTTTAAAATCTTACAAGTCCTGGGACGTTTCCATTTAAGGAAAAGGCAGTAGTGTTGTTGCAGCTGGGTTCCAGTACCAGCTCCCCCATGTTCTGGTACTTGGGTCACATTTAAATGCCTTTAAAAGCCCCTGTTTCCTCATTTGCAAAATGAGAAAAACAGTTCCCACTTAGTAGAGTTTTATAATAAAGGTTAAAAATTATGCAGAGCAAATTAACTTCAATAAATGTTGTTACTATTGTTATGATTAGAAATACTTATTCAATTAAACATTAGGTACAAGGTATTATGCCAAGAATAGCAAGGGGGTAGAAAGACGACTAAGACAGCCCCTACTTAAGGAACATGTTGTTCACCAGGGAAATAAAATAACACAAGTAACTGTAATCCAAGCCAGAATAGTTCTTCAAGTTACTTTAGTCCATGTCCATCACTTTCATAATCAGTCCAAGGAGCCACTCACAGTATTTTGCACACATTGGGGGCCTAGGAAAAGGGAAGTATTCTAATTCAAGCAATGGAAATGTACACTTTCAATAAATTTACCACTACTGGCCAGGCATGGTGCTCACAACTATAAATCCTAGCATTCTGGGAGGCTGAGGCAGGGGATGGCTTAAGCTCCAGAATTTGAGACCAGCCTGAGGAAAAGGGAGACCCTGTCTCTACTAAAAATAGAAAAATTAGCTAGGTGTTGTGGCAGGCACTTATAATTACAGCTACTAGAGAGGCTAAGATGAAAAGATTTATTGAGCCCAGAAGTTCAATGTTTCAGTGAGCTATGATCAGGTCACTGCACTATAGTATGGGCAACAGAACTAGACCTTGTCACTAACAAACAAAAAACCCCAAACAATAAAAAACATGACTGCTAGCACTCTGGTAGGCCAAGGAAGATCAATCACTTGAGCTCAGGAGTTCAAGACCTGTCTGAGCAAGAGTGAGACCTGTCTTCACTAAAACTAGAAAAATTAGCCAGGTATGGTGGCTCACACCTATAATCCCAACACTTTGAGAGGCTGAGGTGGGAACGTCACGTGAGGCTAAGAGTTGGAGACCTCTTCTCTACAAAAAACAAAACAAGACAATCCCCCAAAGCCGTAGTCTCAGCTACTTGGGAGGCTGAGGTGAGAAGATGCCTGAGCCCAGGAATTCGAGGCTGCAATGAGCTATGATCACATCATTGCACTCCAGCCTAAGCTGTAACAGAGTAAGACCCTGTTATCATTAAAATAATACAAAATGTTGTTATAACTCAAACTGAGATACCACATTAAAAGAATAAAATTAAAAAACAAAACAAAAACTGAGAGCTAAAAGGAATAGAGTACAGTTTGTAATGGCTATGTCCAGATGACACAGACAGTACAATCAGTACTTTGGGACCACTGTGTGTAAAACATGGAATACAGTACGTGTCTTGGAGATATTTAAACAAATAGAAAGTGTTTCTCGTCATGGGAAACAGGGTGCAGCCAGAAAGATGGCCACACCTCACCTGTCATGCCATGCATTTACCGGGAACCCAGTGCTAAACTATTCTGCTAAACTATCCGTAGATGAGCTGCATATGAACAAGGGTTTCATAGCAGCAGGGCAGCTCCCTCACTGCGATCTATTGAAGGCCTTTGACACAGGGTTTGTAAAAAAGAAAAAAAGCTAAAAGAAAAAGATAACGTTAGCAAATTTTGAAGACATCTAATTAGGAAAATGGTTATTAAGTGCTCCTTATTCCCAAACAAGTGATCTCTTTTCTTATTGCTATTCTAGAAAGCTACAAAAAATGAACAGCGATTGTGATTTCAGGCAATGAATTAAAATATTCAAAATTTCTGACAACATAAGGTAACCAAAGACATTATCAATGAGTGTTACATCGCTAAAGTTGAAAATATTACCAAAGAAATACATCAGAATGAAATCTTCCTACTCCACCCTAGAAGCTCAAGAGAAATTTTTCTGTGATAGAAAATTTACTTTAAGAAAAACAAAAACTACCACACTACCTCCAGTGTTATCTGCCAAGGACTTAATAGGATGAGTTGTAGTAAGACAGCTGGCTCAAATGAGGTCAGAAATGTTATTTTAACTTTCCCAGCTTACCTTAATGTGGACTTGGGAGCTAACATAACAGCTAATACTTACCTAGCACTTAGCAAGTGCCAGATGCTAAATACTTTACATACTTCATCTCATTCAATAACCCTGAGGAAAACATATGATTATACCCCTTTTCCAGACATCGGAGCTGAGGCTTGGAGAGAAAGTCCTCTAAAATGATTTACCACACCACCAGTCTGGGACTTCCCAATCAGCTCTCTAATGGACTGTCTCAGTTTTCATTAATTGATCCAAGCCTTACTAAAGCTTGGGTAAATATTTTCAGTTTATTACGAATAACTTATTTACTACTCAGTCATTCAACAAGCATTTATTAAAGCCCGATTTCTATGCCAGACAGTCTCCCAGGGACTGAGGATGGAGTGGTTAAGGCTCAGACTCAGCCCTCAGAAAGCTTCCAGTCAGTGAGAGACACAAATATTAATCATTTGTTCATTCAACAAATACATACAGTTCCAGGTACGTCTATGGGAAAAACAGTATGAAAAGGTCTCTACCACCATAGAGCTTACATGCTAGTGCTGAGATCAGACAAGGAACAGGTAAACAATATAGTGAACCAATTATAACTGAGATCAGTACTCTAAGCAGAGTTCTATGAGAATGGAAATCTCCCCTAGACTGACAGGTCAGAAAAAGCCTCTAGGTTAAGAAACCATTTGAGTTCCAAAAAATCTAGACCATTACAGGAGCACAAAATTAATTTACCAAGTCACAGCAGCATTTTTCTTCTAAAAATGAACTGAACTGAACAGAAAACATGAAGTTAAAGTATCTTTCTCTGAAACTTTGTTTCATTTATTTGTGTACATGTACTGGATGGTAATGTAAATGTTTTGTTTTTATGTATAGTGGGTCTAGATCACTGAAAGAAAAAGTTAGGTTCAAGATGAGTTTGGAGAGGTTCCAGATTATTCTGAGCCTTGTAGATTATGAAAAGTTGAAGTTTTGTTTGTTTCTTTTTTTATACTTCATTCTATGGATAGTGGAAAATAACTGAAGGAGATTCCACCCAACTAACCTAAGAAGCTGATGTGAACAATTTTCATCTAACACAAGAAGATGGTTAAAAACCTAGCAGGAATAAGAAATATTTTCATAAGAATGTAAGAGTCAGAAGGGCAGGACTCTTACTTATCTCAGTGCCTAAAACACAGCCTGACACATAGGAATTTGTCCAATAAACATTTGTTCTTTGAATGATGACAGCCTGGATCAGGGTGGTGGCGCTGGAAATGAAAACAAATGCAAACTACTTAAGTAAAACTATCAGAACTTGCTAAGGACTGTAGAGTAAAAGAAAAAGGGAGTGAGGAGGTAAACTCCCGAATTTCTGACTTGAGTGTTGTTTGTGGCTCATCTCTCCCTTTTTGAAATACAGGTAACGCTGAAGGTATTTTGGCCTTTCTAATTTACAAACACATCCCTTAATCTTCAGGAGACAGATTTGTCAACAGTGTGCACACTTTCTGATTCTATGAACTCCTCCATTTTCATCTTTAAGAGAGTAAGTTCTCTCATTAAAATGTCTCATCATTTCAACTTCTCGTTCTGAAACTTTGCTAGTTATATTTTTGTCGCAACCTGAACTAGTGGGGTGCACAAAATGAAGATGCTACCTACTTAAGTAAAAGCCAATGTTGAGCCATTACAACACACCGTTCTTACCCATGACGTACTGGTCTGTATATACTGCACAAAACTGTCACCAGTAAACACTGTAAAACATATTTTTAAAAAACAGAGTCCCATGTAGCAAAAAGCTTTTTGAAAAGCTCGTTTAAAATATCTACGAAGTCGTCATAGTGCCGTAATATCCAAAGCTGTAAATAATGCAGTGAAATCTCAGTTGTGAGGAATAAACTTTCAACTGCTCTTCTTAAAACTTTCTAAAAATTGTCCCTTTCTAAAAACCCCACAATAAGCTATGATTTCATTCATTTATTCAACGTTCGTTCAATGCCCACGACTAACACATCACATCGCTAACCCTCTAAAGCTCCAGGCCCTCTTCGCACCGTCGAGACCCCACTTGCCTGCATGATACACGGAGCTTGTGCCGACCGCACAGCACAGAGACCATCCCGTTCTCCACCCTTCCAGCCCCTGGCAGGGTCCGGGAACGGCGGCGAGCGGGAGGCCTACACTCTGCCGCTCCGTAAGTGCTTCCCTACAGGCCCCCGGAAAGGCGGCCAGTGGGAAAGCAGAGGACGAGGGCACCAGGGAGCTCTGCAGGGGAACGCCAGGCCCGGGCAGGCTAGAGAGTGCAGTTACCTAGATGCTCCAGTCCCGAAGGAGAAACCGCCGCCTGTGCCGGTCCCACCGGCAGCCACAGTGGAGGAACCCAGGGTCCCAGACCCGAAGGAGAACCCCGCGGACATAGCTGCTGGGACTACACGCTGTCAGCAAGTTGAAAGGGGTCTGGGACGTTCCTCTCGCCTCAAAGCCGAGGCGGGCCGGGCAGCATCGTACTCGCCCAGTCCAGAGCCGGCGGACACTTCAAACCCTAGCCGCCGGAAGGAAAGGCCGGAGGGGGCGGAGCAACCACGCAAAAGCACGCTCGGCGCTCGAACGCCAGCGAGCCGGCCGCGCAGGGAACCCTGGGAGGGGGTTGGGGTCCGCTAGCTGCGCAGGGAACACTGGGAGAAGGTGGTGGGGTCGGCGCATTCCCAGTTCTCTTAAAGGGGTAGGCTCCTGGAATTTTAAAAAAATCCATGACAAAACCAGTTTTCTCTTTTTTAGTTCTTTTATCTTAGCATCTGTGCTGACGTAATTTGTACTTCATGGCTGATGAATCTCATTGTTTCGATCCCGCCTCCTGACAAAAATGATGCGCAAAATCCAGAGTTGGGGAGGGATCTCAAGAGTGTCTCCGAGGCTCCTCCACCCCAATACAGAAAAGGAGGAGGCTTCTGGCTTTCGTTGGTTACCGACCCGTCCTTTGGACGTTTCAGAAACCAGTGGTTAATGAGTCGCTCAGCAGTCGCACGCACGATGTGAGCCCCACCTCTGCACGCCCGGCCCGGCGGCTGGAACCTGCTTGACGTGGTCCTTGCAGGCCCCAAGCACCTCCTCGAGGGGGCTCAGAAGTGTATCTAGGCGGCGTGGGTTGGGTGGCCGGCCCTCCTCGCCGTGCCCACCGAATAGAATTGGCTAAGCCCTCTGAGTCTCCTAGCACGCAGCCATCAATTAGTGTCAGCGAATCTTAGTGGGTAGGAGGAATGTGAGAGCACCTGTGCGGCGCTCCAGCACCTGGTGCTCATACCAGTGGAACTGCAGAGTGGAAAGGATGGGAAAAGTGCAGAAGCATGTACAATATAAGGCGAAATGTAAGGGGTCTAGGAGTAACAAAAGTGCGGATTTAAAGAATAGATCCCACCAGGCGGAAAAATCAGGAAAGGCTTTATAGCGGTGGTGCATTACAGGGCTGCCTTCATAATGTGGGTCTTCATTTTTCCATCGTGGATTATTACATTACTCCCCCAAATGGTCTTTTTCAATAAAATCCATCCCATAAGCAATCCCTAGATTTGTTTTCTTAAAATAATTATACCCATGTCACTTCCAGTGGTGCCTTAGTCTAGCACTGAATGGCCTCCATACGACCAATCTTTCTAATCTCTCACCTCACAGCTTCCCATAATTCAACATTTTGTCCGGCTGACCTTAAGCATTGCCACTGCTGTGGACTGAAGTATGCCCCCCTCCCCCAAATCCGCCTGCCCTCTCCTCCCCCAACGTATATAACTTTGGAGATGGGGACTTTGGGAAGTATTTCACTTTAGATGAGGGGTTATGAGCGTGGGTCCTGTGGTAGCATTAGTACACTTAATAAGAAGAGACAACAGAGAATTTGTTCTCTCTCCACCACATGAAGACAGTGAGAAGGGTCCCCTGAAGACCAGGGAAAAAGTTCTTTGGCATCTACATCTTGGATTTCCCACCCATTTTAAATGCTATAGAAGTCACAATAGCACCTAATGTGGACATTGTGAGGGTGTATAACACGCCCCCTGGGTGAGGGGCTCTTCTACAAATGGAACTTTACCCTAAAAATTGTACTTTCATATTAATTTGAAAGAATAAAAAAATACTCAAAAAAAAAGGCACAATGGGTATGACAAAACAGAAGGATGACAAAAATAAAAGATTATTGCGGGTTTTAAAGATTCAGTGGTCTAAAGAATGCTAGACTGTCCACGTAAGATCTAGGGTATTTCCTTTTTACTGGACAAAAAAAAAAAAAGATGGATCCAGATTTTAGTGAGATGATAGAGAGATGCTCCCTACTATGTTCTGGTTCCCTACTGCATTCTTTCCTAAACTGTTGAAGAATACCAACATAAAATTAGCAAGAGCAAAATCCCTGGTACTTAATAAGTATTTGTTAATTAACAAGGTAAGTGAGATTAGCAGGAAGGAAAGAGAATGTAAAAATATAGTACAGATTAATGTTAAGATGCCCATAACACAGGTAAAACTGGCTGTGAGGGATATGGGGTTTCTCTCTCTGTAATAATTCTGTAAATCTATAACTGTTTTAATGTAAAGTGTTTATAAAAGAAAGAAAGGAATTCTGATTCAGATGGACTTTGGGGTTTGAGGGGACCCATTTGAATTCATGAGGAAGCTACTCTTTTTTTTTTTTAAAGATATAGAATTTATTAACACATACATGAGGGAGAATGACAGCGTGATTACCCCACACCCAGTGGGATGGAGAAGTGTAGAGGAGGCTTAGCTGGCACATGCGGTCTTGTTATATAGACAAGACCCTCAGAGAGAATAGATGGTAAATGTCTCTCTTTTGGGGGGCCAGGTTTGAACCCACCACCTTCAGTATATGGGCTCAATACCCTACTCCTTGAGCCACAGGTGCCACCCGAAACTACTCTTTTTTTAGACAGAAGCTCACTATGTCGCCGTCAGTAGAGATGACGGCTCACAGCTCACAGCAATCTCAAACTCTTGGGCTTAAGTGATTCTCTTGCCTCAGCCTCCCAAGTAGCTGGGACTACAGGTGCTCGCCACAACACCCAGCTATTTTTTGTTGCAGTTGTCATTGTTGTTTAGCTAGCCCAGGCCGGGTTCGAACCTGCCAGCCTTGGTGCATGTGGCTGGCGCTGTAACTACTGTGCTATAGGCTCTGAGCCAAGGAAATCACTCTTTTGGCTTTATTTTATAGTTTTTATATAGCATTTCTGCTTTGTATCTAGCAGGGTAGTTTAAGTTATGCTACAGTAACAAATCCCCAAATTCCTCAGGAAGCAGTGCTGCAGAGATCAAACTGGAGTATTTGATGGGCAGTATTACAGTCTACCACATGTCTCTAAACAGATGGAGTATAAGCCTGGACCTCAAAGACCCCATCTCATTTCATATACTTTTTGCAAATTGTCCTATTAGTGAAAAGTTTTGTTTTCTACAGAAACAAAACTCCAAAGAAAGCAGCTTTCAGTAAGTCCAGTTGTTCAGTTAGTCGATTCAAAATGTGATAACACAGCAATAATCTGAGTGTCACGCCTACTTAAAATAAGCCTAAAGCCTATCTGCCAACCAGGCACAACGTTGCAGCACTAGAATCTCCCTTATCTAACCTAGTGAGAGTAACAAATCTTACTCCAAAGGATCTTCCAAATATTCCTCTATTTGCCATGTGAAACCTAAGCCTGTCAGTTCTGTGTGAATTACTGTTTTCTAAGGATGAAGCAAGTGTTTCAGATTCTAAATTCTATGGCAAGCCACTTTGTTTTGTATTGCTTCTTACATTGTGCAAATTCTCTCAATTCTTTCTTTTTTTTTTAGCAGTTTTTGGCAAGGGCCAGTTTTGAACCTACCACCTCTAGTATATGGGGCTGGCGCTCTCCTCCTTGAGCCACAGGTGCTGCCCCATTGTGAGAATTCTTTTAAGAAACTCCAGCTTATGCTGATTTTCTGGCTGGATGATATCGTTAATATCATAATTGAACTGAAATTATTCAAATGACAATAGTACTCTGGAAAAATTCTAATTTGTGTTTAAATTAAAATATCAAAATAAATTTACTTTGGTGGTGTGTTCAGATCAGGATAACCCTTTGAGAAGCTGAGAGGTTAGATAACATAGAAAGGAAGTGAGAATCTGAAGTCTATTGAAAGGGACTAATAACTCGGGTTTTAATTCTCTGGAATATCTGAATGAGAGGTTATTGTTGGTAAGTTACGTGTAACCAGGTGTCTTCCATCACTGACGTTTCGATTCTCTGTCTTGAAAATTATTCTCCAAGGATTTTAAAGATCTAAATAGTGTCCTTCCGCTTTAAGTAGCCTATTAAATTATTAAATGATTTAACAGCAACAACCAAATGTATATAGACAGATCAATACTGCAAGGTATATGGTGACTTTCAAAACAAGGTAAATGAATGATCATTGTAAAATTCTCCCAATTTTTCCATAGGTTTGAAATTTTTCAGAATAAGAAGTAAAAAAAAAAAAGCTTAGAGCTCAGACAAAAGTTTCTAGTCATGGGGCAGAGTACTAATTGTTTATTATCTAATGAAGTTTTCACTCATTACCCAAGAAATGAGAAAAACAAATGAAATGTAGGGAGTTTTCCCATAAAGTTAAATTTTTTTTTTTTTTTTTTGAGACAGAGTCTCCCTCTGTTACCCTGGGTAGACTGCTGTGGTATCCTAGCTCACAGCAACCGCAAACTCTTGGGCTCAAGTGATCCTCTTGCCTCAGCTCTCAAGTAGCTGGAATTGCAGGCACTGGCCACAACACCCAACTATTTCCAGAGACCAGGTCTCACTCTTGCTCAGGCTGGTCTTGAGCTCCTCAGCTCGAGCAACCCACCCACCTTGGCCTCCCAGGTGCTAGGATTACAAGCATGAATCACCATGCCCAGCCCAACTTAATGTATTTAATTCAAAGTTTAGTCATTTATTAAACAGCTTTCCTGTTTGTGAATGGGAATGGACTTTTATGATTTGGTAGTATTAGTGGATAAGGATAAAACTAGGCAATGTCAACAAAAGTAAATGACAGGGGCTACAATCCCAATTTTGTTCAAAATGGCACACTAACCACACAAATAACTACATATCCCAGCTTCCTGTACAGTCCAAGGTGGATGGGAGACACGAGATGAAACTTCCAAGATGACTCGTTTGGTGGAGAACAGATGGCTGGCACCTATTCTCTTTGACTTTCTCTTCCTTCTTTCTGCCAGCTATATGGAACTTAGACACAGCAGTGGGATCTCCAATAGCCATCTTTGACCATGAGTGACTTTAAAAATGGAAGTCATATGCTAGTGAGGGTGAAGCAGAAACATAGCATGAGGTTAGGGCCCTGACAGTGTGCCGTACAGCCACAATACCAGCCCTATACTGTCTACCTCCAGATTTCTTTTAAAGGAGAGAAAAATAAACTTCTATGTTGTTTAGGCCATTAGATTTGGTTTCTGTTCTTCATAGCTAAATTGAGTATGTATCTTTAGTAGGAATCCACCCTAAAAGATGAATTTTACATGTGTTACTGTGGAAATCTAGAAAATATCTAAGATTAACCAAGATCTAGAATATAACAATAAAATCAGCAATAGCAACCTATTCTCT